GTCGTCCATCTCTCTCAGGCTCCACTGGGGATATTCTGCATCTGTGTTGGACGTATAAAACCTTTTGTAGCAGAAAGTAAAAGTGATTAAATTTCATGTTCAGTCTCTGCAGGTAGATGCACAAAAACATAATAGAACGTGTTTGTTTCATTTACGTACAGGTGGCACATTTGACTATCCTTCCAGCCAGGAGTCATTCAGCACCCCTGATTTAAATCCAACCGCACACAAACCAATCTGCCACACACAAACCTGGTCTTTGTTCTGCGTTTGTTTACTGCCCTTATCCTGAAAACTTGTTCAACAGAAGTTTGTTTTCAACAGCTGCTCGTTTTGCATATTAAAATCTTATAGGTTTCTCTCTCTCTCTCTCTCTCTCTCTCACTCACTCACACACTCACACACTCACACATATCTGCACACAAACCCTTACTATGTCCTGAATTCACTGAATGTTTCTATCAGTTGTTAAAAATTTTGTTTGTTAAACCTTGGAAGGTCAGTGTGTGTTTGCAGTTTGTGGCCTTGTCGTTCCTGTGTGAGTCATGCTGTTCAGGCTCAGTGTTCACATGAATTGGCTCATTCTTGTGAGGACTAATTACATTTTTCACTTATTTARTCATGTGCTCGCTGAATTTTAACCATCACCACACCCAGTAGTTCACATTCACCATCTGTCCCTTAAGTGAGACACTTTTCTCTAAAAAAAAATCTGGCAGCTCTGTACTTCCTTTGCGCAGCTAGGTGTCAGTAGTGTCTGAAAAAGATGCAGCCAGGCTGTGTGTCTGAGCGAAAGGGTGTGTGCATGTGTGGTTTGAGCACAATCAGAAGCTGGTATGGGAACCGCCACCAGGAGCGCTCGTGCTCCACTCAGAGCTTGTCGGAGAGGAGTGTGGGGGAGGGGAGGAGAGCAGGGCAGCAGATGCTCCGCCGGTGGATTAGGCTGCGTTGTTGTCGTCTCTTAGAAAAGAGGGCAAGACGAGGAGAGGAAAAAAACACAGGATATGACCAGGTGAAATGGGATCAGCTTAGTTTGCCTCATCTTTCCCACCAGGTTAATGAAAAGAAGGCACGCAATTTTAGTTTATTAGAGAGAAACAAAAACATCAACTCKCAGCTCACTGACTCATTTATGCATATTTTGTTTGCTGTTTCCTTAAATCTTGTCCATATTTTATGTAATATTGTGTGAAYAGCCACTAGAGGTGCTATTGCTCCATGGTAGATGTGAGCTGTGCTTTAGGTGTGTGTATGATCCACAGGGAACCAGATCAGATCCAACAAGACAACTTGAAAATCTCATCTAATGCGATTGCACTTGTTAATCCATCTTATGATCTTAGTTGCTGCAAGCACTACTTCTTTACTGTTTTGYTTCGTGCACTGTTCTGTCATTGCTGAGGAAGGAAACATAAAGACTAGAGAACTGTATGTTTAACTCTACAGGTAAAAAATAGCCCAAAGACATTGCCGTTTTAGTTGTGTGTTCACTCAGACAACAAAAAGCATGTTTACTACACAGCCAGATCCTTGTTTGGTCTGTGCACGGCCTCCAGAACATTTTCATAAGTAGGTTTGTGTGTTTGTGTGCTGCTACATGTCCTTTAAGTGAATCGTGTAATTAGTGTTTGTGGACACTTTCCAGATGTGTTTCCCCCAGAAGAAGAGGAGTGTGGCTCATTATCATTCTGGCCTGTTTATGTAGTTGCAGTGTGTGGACACTGAGTGGTGTTTATGAGCTGCAGAGAGGGTGTGAGGGAGACTTTCACAGACGTGACAGGCGAGACCACAGACCATCTGCTGCATGGCTTACTGCAGGATTAAATAGTGTGTGTGTGTGTGTGTGTGTGTGTGTGTGTGTGTGTGTGTGTGTGTGTGTGTGTGTGAGAGAGAGAGAGAGAGCATGTGCTGCATGTATGGGGGTTGGGCAGGTGATGATAAACCTTTTAACCTCCAGCTCTACTGCCCCGTTTCCAGACCTCTCTGTCTCTATTCAGCTTCAAGTAGAAATAATTAAAACCACTTGTGTGAAGGCTGAGTCGTGTTACAGAATGTTGCCCACCTACACACACACACACACACACACGTACACACAGTTCTGAGAGTGGGCACCCCACTTGGTTTGAAACAGCGTTTTTTGTTTATGGCCAGTTCAGACGCAGTCTCTGCAGGGAGTCAGGATGTAAACAAACACAGACACGACCCACAAAAACTGCACCAGCAAACTTACAGTAACTCAAGATTTACAGCTGCTCAGTGCCCATTCGGAAGTGAGCCACAATTACACGTTTACATTRGAGTGTATATGTGGATTTCACTATAGTGGGTGTATCTTTTCAGAAGGGTGTGTTTCACAACTTGTATTCATGGAAGTCTGCTGTGTAGCTTTTAAAGCAGTGATAAAAACCTAACTGGTTCAATCCTATAAATATATCTATAAAAATGTGTCTCATCTAAATGATTTAAAGTTGAAAAGCTGAAATGTTGTTTTTTTTTTTTTTTTTTTAAACAGATGGTGATGAGACTGGTATCATGGATGGCCTGTTGGAGGCGCTGCARTCCGGTGCTGCTTTCAAAAGAAAGAGAGGACCCCGACAAGCAGGTACTCATCCTCAGAGCTCTAAACCTCAGAGAACATGGATCTCTCTTAATGTACAGATTTCGGTTTCCTCTCCCCTCCCCCTGTCTGTGGCAACACTCAGCATCCCGTTTTGTTTATGTTCCTCATCTCTGTTGCACGCCTCAGAGGCTGCGAGCTGTGATGTTATTCTGGGGTTTTTAGTTATAGGGAGCRAAGCTGATGCCATCCCAGGCTGGCGCAACAACAGAAGAAAGGAGTGGGTGCCACGAGTGGGTGGGGACGGTATGCCACCGAGTGGAGCAACTGATCGGGGTGTGGTGGTGGAGCAGGAAAAAATGGGAACTATGGAGAGGTTAAACCCGCATGTGGGCAAAAAGAATAGGAAAACAGAGAGAAGGGAAAACATAAAAGATGTGGTGAAAGACTGAAATCAGAAAAATGTTTTTTTTTTAGGTTTCTATTTACTGTCTATTAACTGAGTAAAACAATCAAAAAGTGTCAGTTCACTGTAAATTACTGATGAAAGCTTTAAATAGTTTTGATCATAAAGCTGTTCTTGATTTATTTTTTATTGAAAAAATATGAAAGACAGTTAAACGTGTCAGATAAATTTTAAAATGTGTTTTATCCCAAACACTAACAAAAACTGTTTCTAAATTATTAGCTACATCCTCTATAGCACCATTCTTACACTTCTTGTACACAAGCCATAAAGCTTCAGTTTTCATCTAAATGCTCATACATAGCAAATATCTGATTACCTGCTCACCATCTGCTCCACTATCAGATTTAACAGAAATTGTCGATGTCTGCAYAAGTTGTCTAAAACGTTAGTGTGACATGGCCAGACCAGCCAGATGAAAGTGAATATAAGAACAGTGAATAAAGTGTAACATGACTCCTGCTTTTAGGCAACTTCTGTGTAACTGAGTGTTCAGTGCCCATTAACTGTTACAAATCAAGTAAGTGAGGCCCTGTGTGTGTGTCTATTCACATGCACATTTGTGTGTGTTCTGAATTTGCACATAAAGGCTGAGGAGGAGTGTGTGCAACCCAATCCCTCCTCCAATAGAAGCCAGATGTGAAGCGTTGTTCCAGAGTGAAATAACTCCTAGCCARAGGGTGGACTGCTCTTTTTTGTTTCTTCTGACCTTCTCCCTTTTTTGTCTCTTTTGATTGTCTTTTGTTCTAAATATATTTCCAAATCCTGTGTCATTACGTAACGGCTGTAAAACAGATTTAGTCCTCTGTAGGAAATATTGAGTGCAGTAAACTTCCATAAGCAACAAACAGCTCTGGCTCATCACTGTTAAACTAACTGGGACAGACTGAAGGAGGAAGAGGGAGCAGGAAAGAAAGAAAGAAAGAAGGGGGCCCACTCGAGGGTTCTCTCAGTCATCCATAATGGTGTTTGGCCACCTCACACTCCTAACAGGAAATACCTGATCAGAAATGTGAAAGAAACGGGGAGCAAGAGYTTTTCTTTGCTGCACATACCAGCGTGTGGGTTGGAAAATATGAGTGGCTGTGTTTCACATCCCTGCTAAATGTCTCCTCCCTGTCTTCTCCTTTACCCCACTGTRTCATTTATATTTTTCTTTTGCCAAAGTTCAGGAATTTCCAAAGCTGTGATGTGGTTTATTTGCAATTTTTGAAAAGAGTTTATACAGTAGGTTATTCTTTGATTTTTTTTTTTTTGAGGTCTTCTTTTTTTCCACATTGCTTTTTGTGGACTCATGGGRCTTACAGTGTTTCACCCAAACACAACAAGAGTGTGTTGTTTTTGTATGTGTTTTGCAAGTTTTATTGCATAGTTGAGTCAGAGGTCCTTTTTAGTGGAGCTGAAGTAGCAGGAGGCAGAGCTTAACCCTGGCTCAGTTGATACATTTCTGGGGCCACAGGCAGCCTCCATCTGTTGGTTAAAACACTCGTTTAACCAGATTCTGTACTTGTAGACTGTATGAGTTTTATTTACATGGAGTAAAATGTAAATGTAAAGCATGTGAAAAGCTGATAGTGTTGCTCAGGAATAATTTCTTTAAAGGCAACCCTGAGTAGTTGTATCATTCGATATGATAAACATTTACTTTGATTGTAAATCAAAGAYAGTACTATAGCATACCAGCTAAAGTATGTTTACTGGGTCCTCTGCCAACGCAAGGCTGCTTTTTTTTTCTTTCCCCCCAGCGAGTGCAAACTTCATCCTCCCTGAAGGTTAATTTCAGATAATATCTGACAATTGGTTCATTTAAACAAAACTAGAGCACGTTGACAGAGACAAGAATGCAGAAACGACTCAGCCTACAACTGAAACTGTGGATGGAGGACAACAGAGCTGCTTCATGGAAAGAGAACATTGGCTTAGCCTGTTAGCTTTCATGTTAGCGCCCAAGCTAACACATATGTAAAATATATAAATAAGTATATGTATGGATAGTAATATAGCATTTTTTTGCCATTTATATAATTTCGGTTGGGCACTAMTGCTATGTCACCTCTTGTATATGGATTAGCTCAGGCGCTAATGCAGAAGCTAACAGGCTAAGCTGAGGTTCTCCTTCCATGWAGCAGATCTGTTTTCCTCTAYCTTTTCACTTTTAGGCTGAGTCATTTCTACATTCTCCTCTCTGTCAAGGCACTAAACTAAACAGCCTACAGYATTTTTAGTCTTTGTTTTACAGTTGAAGTAAATGTTTRTCCAATAATGTCTAATGTTACAACTYGTCAGGGTTCCCTTTTAATTAATTTTGAATATGAAAGAAAAGATGGAGTGATTCTTGGACCATCTGAGGCTTTGATAGCTCATGAGGAATMATTATTTTATTAGATCTGGTTTTTCATGCTTTCCACCCTCACTCACTGTAACTTAATGCACCACTTGCCTTGGGGACAGTCAGACCAGCTGATGATCTGATCTTATGAATATCTAATTACTTTTCTCTGCAGCTAAAGCACTATTAATGTTTAGCTATCATGTTCAAAGTAGTCATTAGTCAGATGTCTCATTATGTGTCAAAACATTAAACAATTTATTTGAATARTTTATGAGAGAGTAGTTTCAGCTGTTTGGTTCAGTTTAATTAACTTTTTTCTCTTAAAGTTCACTTCAAAAAGTTTACCTTTTTATTTCAATTCACAAATCAGGTATTTATCTGCTTATGTTGCTTGTACCTCTTAGTAAGTAAACATGTATATAAAGCACATTAACAAATGATAATRCATTAATAAGACAACATTAAAACTCAYACATGCATGTTAAAAACCTTAAATCTAGTTTTTAGTTGCTTTTTAAAAATCTCTCAGCTCTTAGCGATTGAGGTAAGAACCTGAAATGCTCTGTCCACACTTGTCTTTAGTCAGGACCAGTAGTTATTTTAGCTACGTTTCTATTRCTTTTAGCTAGTTTCTTGCTACCCTTAGCTTTTAGCCAATGTTTTTAGTTAGAATTTGCAACTCTTTGCTTATTGCGAGGCTTTTAATATTTTTTRCTATAACAGCTAAGTTTTGGATTTATAAAATTTCAGCAAAGTTCATCAGCACTCTGTATTAACACTGCATTTTCTGTGAAAACAGAATATCTCTAATTTTATTATATAAAGAGTTCCCCTTCATCCTCCTCCTCCCTCACAGCTGCAGTGACTGCAGACGTCACGGCTGATTTCAAAGACCTGTTGAGTGTGTCGTGATGCTCTTTGTGTCACAACAGTGTGACTGAATAGCTTGCCACGAGGCTGTTAAAGCCATCCAACCCATCACCTTTGACCTGTACCTCAGCTCGCTCTGTGTGTGTCTGATTGTCATCTAGAATGGTAGAGGCTACAGCTGCCTACCCTCCGTCTGTCTACTCCCCCTCATTAAACACATAAAGATGAAACACACGCCAGATGCTCACATGCCAGTACAAAAAGACACATGGGTGTTTGCATATAAATAGATGAAACTAAACACATTCCAGAGGACAATCTGGCAAATAAAACAATCAAACTTTCTCATCACCCTTAAATTGTTTTTATATGTGTATATATATAATTTTAGACTCATCAGCTGTGCAAAGTTACCCTTTTTTATGTTTTCAGATCAATTTATGTAGAGGAATGATTTGTCTAATGTGTCTATAGACCCATCTGCTGGGTCATGACCCTGGCTGCAACAACCAATCCCAGAAAGCAACGTGCTGACAAAGTACCACTAACAGAGAGACTGAGATAAAGAGCACAGCAACAATTGAGGCACACGCTGGCTCTGCAGACAGTCTGCTCTTATGGAATGGAAACAGAGAAAACTTTCTGCYCTGAACACATGCTTTCACAGATGTTTCCAAACTCCAACACTCCTGCAGACACCCAGAGGGCTCTCAGTATAATGCTCCTCAATCAATTCATAACTGAAACACTGGTGATGTCACAACAACACTATCTGAAAAAAGATCCAGTGTGTGCATCAGTCACCAATAATCAATCAATCTTTTCCCACCAGAGGTGCTATTGAGTGACGTCACTTTTTCCCACAGTCCTCTAATGCAGAGCAGCGGTGTTAAACAGTTCTGCCTGAAGAGGGCGATCTCATTCCCTTCTAAGTTAAAAACACTGCTTCAGCCTGCATCTGCAGCTTTTTGTCCCTCTTTCTTATGCAGTCATGTGATTGTTACACATTCTGTACTAGAGGAAGCAAAAATGGCTGCTTTTTTGTCACTATCTTGCAGATCTTGTGTTTGTAAAACAAATACACACACATTCATCAGACCAACCTTTGTTGTCTGCCCCAACAAGTCCATTACCATTGCTGCAGCCAAGTGGCTCCATGCCAGCTGCGTGGATCATTCAGCCAAAATCAGACCTTTTAATTGTATAATCTCCGTGCCTGTGATGCCACATACTGAGTGTTTCTACAAAGWTAGAAGGCTCACAAGAAACAGAGAGAAGAAAGAAATTACTAAAGCAGCTAAGAATGAGACATTCGCACTTTTCGTTCCAAGCAAGGGACACGATCCAAAGCTGCTGGGGTGTTAGATTTCACCAGCAGCTTTATTCCTTCAGCCTTTAAATGGTTACTTTCAGAGTCGCTAACATGTTGCGAGTTCCTGGGACAGTACCACAGCAACAAACCCTGAATCTGTTAAGTACAGATGAATCACGGCAGCAGTGAAGACACGAGGTCCATCACTTGTCATTCAGATGTGTGGGCAGAGGGCTTCAYGAAACAAGACCAAGATTTTTAAAACAGTTTTATGATTTAAAACAACGCCAGCCCTCACATGAAAAGGTTCATAGAAAGGATCACCTTTTTTTTAGTGAAGCCCAAAACCTTTTAACTTCATTGTACAGGGAAAAGTAATCTAAGTACCTTTTTTTTTTTTGTTTTTAGTGTCCAGGTTTGTCTAAATCCATGTCTAACCCAGGCTGCTCCCTCTGATCCTCCTCCTGTCTTCTCCTCTCAGAGGAAGTGGAGGAAGATGAGAGAAGCTTGAAGCTGGCTCGACAGACTTTGAAGAGTTTTTCTCTGCGGGTTTAAATTTGTAGGAGAAGCGTTGCCC